TTCAATGTAGTGCGGTTTAGCAAAGGACTTCTCTGCAAGAACACCCCAGAAGATAAACAGACATGATTATTTCTACACTAGGAAGTCTTTCTTGTTCAGCATTTTTGGGAATATCACTTGTTTTAGCCCTCAGTTATTTAGGTTTCAGGCAAAATGTAGTTTACTTTTACTTTAGCTGAAATTAGTATAAGAAATCAAGTAAGGTAAAGCTAAAGTTAAGTGTAAGAGGGGATGGCTGAAAAGTTGAAGGTTCATGCATACAGGCGCAGCAAGGGGCTGGGCAGTAAAGGAGGTAAGCTACAGACATGTCCATATAAATGTCTCTGGTGAATTTTTGAGTATGTTTACAAGAGGAGCAGGAAGTCAATTTGACTTTGTGCTTGTGGATTATAGATGCTCTTTATTTTCTGCATATCTTTTGAAGAGTTAGGTGTTACTCAAGGTTATTGGTCTTGTTCGAGAAAAAACCATATATGTACTTAAATTCAAATAGATCTGGTATTTCAATAGTGTCACTTTATAGTAGTTTCCATTGTATGAATGTGTTCTGGGCGCTCTGCACTTCCTGCACGTAACTTGTAGAGTTTGATGTTCCTTGTAAGCAGCAAAAAGTTGCTTGGTTTCAGTCCATTTCTTTTAAGGACTTGGCTGCTAACGTCACATTGTCCTTATCACCAAATAATGCTGTCACCTGCCAAATCTCAGAGTGACTGGGGAGTGGCTATATGTTACCCACACTGTTTTTTTAATTAACATGCACCTTTTTATAATAAAATTCTTCTTCTTTGGGAATATGTTTATTATTACTGCCATCCTTCTAGGACATTCATAGAAATGACTTTCAGCCCCGTATAGAGTACAAGAGTCGGAACAGATTTTGCAAAAAGAGGAATGTGTATTTGGGCATGGGAGGAAGGGATGGGGAGTGATGGAAAAGGGAAGAATGCAGCAGTTTGCTCAAAAGGCAATGATTATGCAATTTAGCTGATCTTGATGGGAGAGTGATAAAGATGATTTTAATAATATCAAGGGGCAGGATAAGAAGCAGGATAGAGACAGGACTTCGAGAGTGAAAAGAATGATAATGTAACAATCAACTGCTCCACTGGGCTTCTTTTATCCTGATTGTGCCAAGTGCTTAAAACTAGATGCGAGCTGTGGTCAGTGGGTGTACATCAGCTCTCAGGACCAGGGCTCGACTTTGAGTGAACCACACAGGCCCACGTATAGTTACAGTGTGTGACTGATCCACCAGAAATACATTTGCCGTGCTGAGTGTCCCGGGCTCCACTCTCCAGCTCCAGCCTGGGTTTCTTGCTCCTTTTCTCTCATGCTTCTTTGACTTGTTCATTTAAAATAGAAGCTTTTCACAGCAGGAAGCTGTTTCTTGATATGTTTCCACAGTGCCTAACTCAACAGGGCATCTGTCTTGATAGCTGCCGTGTAGGTCCTACCACAAGCAACTAGCCACAGCAGGATTTTTCCAGCTGCTACTTAGCTGACTTCAGATCAGATGAGAATGAGCTGTGGTTGTTGGGTGTCTCATTTCATTTGGTTTGCTTTTCCTTTCCTTAAGTCTAGCCTTTTAGAAGTGCATGGGGATTTAGTTTTGGATCTTTTCCATAGCGCATTTAATTTTTATTTACTGTTTGCTGTGATGAAAGGGAAAAAATGAAATCCGTAGATGCAGAGAAGGAAGAACTGTTACCCTGCATGGAAGTCTGAGATAACCTGACCGTGTTCGGCATGAGACCAAGGTGGGGGAGAGTGAACGCTCAAGGAGGAAAAAAAAGTAAAAAAGCAAAATTAATGGAGAATGCATGTAGTTCTGAATAATTTAAATAAAACTTTTATTTTTAGTGCCTTACAGGATTTGTCTGGCCAGTTTTGCAAGAGATTTTTTCCTGTAGTATTTTTTAATAGGAGTTGAATGTCATGGCCCTAATGATCTTCTTAATGAAGATTAAACTCTCATAACTTTGTTGCTGCCATTCATTTTGTAGTCTCAAATGAAATTGGGATAGTAACCTTCTAGGTGGTGTCCGTACATGGTTAGTAAGGGACTGTCCTTGTCCTTGAGATTTTAAATCTGAAGTAAACAAGGAAGCAAATAGCAAGGGGGAAGTGTTACCCATTTTATGCAGAGAGATTAACTGCTTTGTTTGATTAACTCTCTTAGAGCTGCAAATTGTGTTCATCTTCCTTAAACACTGGCTCTGGCATGAACCAGCAAGACTGTTCTTCCTGCCTGTGGGGCAAAGGCATGTGTATGGGAAGTTCAGCTTCTGTGTCATTAAGCTGGATGCCACAAATGGACAAAATGTTGCAGAAGATATTCAAATTAATGAATACTGTCAAACAATCCACTTCTAATATCTGTCTTACAGTTCAGTAATGCATCCTAAAGAGGTGCATTTTATCCTTGAGTTTTTGGGGATTTTTTTAATCCACTGAAAGAAATGGATGTGGGGGGTGAACTGAGTACAGAATTTAGGGTACAGTAAGTTACTTTCCCTTCACTCGAGGCACAGTTTATAAGCAGAGCTATTTGTGGCTTTTTTGATTGAGATCTGAGATAGCAATCATCGGTACAAGTTTTTTATATTGTGGGAAAAACATGAACAAATGAATCTGAATTTTTCTGCATTTGATCCTTGTACAATAGACAGTAGAAGGATACAACTCTTAGGAAACAACATTGCAGTAGTATGTCAAGCTGTTTTTTCATCTCGTTGCAAATAACTGTAAGAGACTATATTTGAAACTAGATGACATGCATTATGATAAGCCATTTAGCCACTGAGATGTAAGCTGGGATCAAAGCTTGTTTGGAAAATTGAGGTCCTTGGGAGCGGTAAGAAAAGAATGGTTTCTTACAGATAATAAAAGAATTCTTCTGAGCTCCTTGGAGTGGGTGTGAGGCTGCTTAACACTTCATTTTTTTCAAGGTATGTGCTGAAGTCAGTGTATATCAGAACTGGGGTATAATTCTTAGACATTTCCTGGTCACTCTGTCATATGAGGTCAACCTATCATTAGAAGTTAGGTTTTTGCCCTTAATAATGTGCCGTCTCTTCTTTGACCTCATTTGACAGTTAACTACTCAGTTTGATTCATGATAAGAGTTTTAGCAAAGTAAGATTGAAGATAGCTTTTTATTTTGTCTTCACTATTATTTTGAGTTATGTTTAGTAGGTTGTGGGATTTTTAGAAGTTAGAGTCACTCTTCCTTTAGAAAAGTTCTTCTCACGGTTACACGCTCATTCCCTGCACAGAGGAGCCAAACACAGTGAATGCTGGAAGGAAGGATTTGTCTTGCTGGGTTGCTGGTGATGCCACTGTGGTTTTTGGATCTGGCAGATGGTTTGTTCTCACAACAGCTCTTCCCTCCCTGCTCAGGTTGTAGCCTGGTTGTTGACGTTTGAGTTTTGTTGTCTGGTACAAATGATGATCCAGACAATTCCCTTTCACGTCCCAACAGTGTTTATTGCTACTGCGAAGACAGAAATTATAGCTGGCAGAGGAGCATGGATTTTTTTATTATTTTTCTTTTATTTTTTCAGTTCCTTGTTTTGGCATTTTAAGCTGTTTTCATCCTCCTACAAGACCTTCCCTTGTTAAATTGCTTTGTTAAAGTTTCTTTTGCCTCTTCTGTTTTTTCATTCTTTCCTTTCTATTCTTAGTTTCTGATATTTTCAGATTTGACTTGAGATTCCTTGTAACTTTACAGATGCCTTCCTCATCAGACTATGAAGTCACACGACTAACTTTCAAAACGAAAATGCTGTAGATCATATTTATTTTTCAGTATTTCCTTCAAACGTGATTTATGCCTTACCCCTAGTGCCCATATGTCCAAGCCTGCTTTCTTCTGTTTTCTGCTCTCTTAACGTAGCACTTGCAGGTCTGAAAAATGTTCTGTGTTTAGGAAGCCAGTTCAGACTGGCCTCCTCATTTAACTCCTGGAGTTAAAATTAGGCTCCTTCTTACAAGTTTCAGAAGGTCTTTCTTTAACTGCAAACAGCCAGGTGATCTTCTATGGAAGGAGAAATTTTGAAAAAGCAGTTCACAGAATCACAGAACGGTTGAGGTTGGAAGGGACCTCTGGAGATCATCTCGTCCGACCCCCCCTGCTCAAGCAGGGACCTCTAGGAGCACATTGCATAGGATTGCGTCCGGGGGGTTTTGAATATCTCCAGCAAAGGAGACTCCACAACCTCTCTGGGCAATGTGTTCCAGTGCTCAGTCACCCTCCGTTAACAGAATCTTAAGCCCATGAAACTCTTATGTGATGTTCTCAAGACAGGTTTAAAATAATTAAGTTTCAGTGATTAAGTGAATTGAAGTATTAGACTGTGGTGCATACCAGCAGTCAAAAGAAATGTTGCACAGTAAGGGCTATGCCATCATCCAGCTTTACACTGGTGAGAAGGACTAGTCTAACACCTTCTTTAACAGCATCAGCAGTCAGATCCAGCCTTTCTTGTAGTCGATGGAAGGATTTTTTTCCTTTACTTGTAAAGTCCTCCAACTCTGAATATCTTGAGGAATTTAGTGTAAATTCTGTCCCTCTAATAAGGGGGAGCCAGGTGAAACACTGGGATCATCTGACTTTTTTTTTTTTTAAATCTCAGTAGGAAACAATTCACAAAATATGAAGCTCACTGGAGAAGCACTACCGTTTCTTGCCACTGTGCACTGTTTCAGATTGTCTGTTGACCTCACTGTGCTCTGTAGCAGGGCTGATCATCTAATTGGTTATATAATCATCAGTCAGGCATGTGACCTTGTTTCATCCTTCCCCAACGTATTAAATTGCTAGACAATTAACACGATTTGAGACTTTCCCTAATCTTCATGATGTTTGCATATGTGCAAGGATGAATATATTTGTGTCTGAAAACGCTTAAAAAAAAACCCTTAATGCTGCTGAATTTAATGTAACTTTAATTTTAAATATGTTTTATGTTTTTCTTTTCTTTTTCCCCTTTTAGGTATTACCCAGAAATGGCTTTATGGACCTGGACACTGAGCATTTTGAGCTGTTTTTGTTTCACCTTATCCAAAAATGAAGAACTGAAATATTTTCAGAGTGCCACAGAACTGAATCACCTAACAGTGGATAATGACACTGGGAAAATCTATTTGGGAGCAGTAAATGCTCTATATCACCTTACAGAAAACATGGATGAACTCGAATTTGTAGAAACAGGTCCAAAAAAGGATAACAAAAAGTGCACACCTCCCATAGATGAAAATCAGTGCAAAGAGGCAGTAATGACTGACAATTATAACAAACTACTATTGCTGAACAAGGCAGATAAAACGATTGTGGTGTGTGGAAGTCTTTTTAAGGGAATCTGTGCCATCAGAAATCTAAAAAACATTACAACAGTTGTGTATTATGTGGACAGTAGTGGAGAGAAGTCCTTTGTAGCAAGCAATGATGAGAACGTATCAACTGTGGGACTGATCACTTCCTTGAACAATGACCAAGTGTTGTTTGTTGGGAAAGGGAATGGGCCAAATGATAATGGGATAATAATTAGCACTCGGCAGCTCTACGAAAGTGATGGGAAAGACATTTTTGAAATGTATACAGACTCGGCAGCTGTTAAGTCAGCTTATCATTCTTCAAGCACGCAACAATTTGTGGCAGTCTTTGAGCATAAAAATTACGTTTATTTTATTTTTAACCAACAAGAGAAACAGCCCGTCAATAACCGCACGCTTATTGCACGTTTGTGCAAAGATGATGCCCATTATTATTCCTACTTTGAAATGGACTTGGGATGCAAAGATGATGATGGTGCTTATGATCACTGTCATTCTGCTTTCGTCACTACGCCAGGAGAAGAGCTGGCTGAGAGCATGGCTCGGCAGCAACAAACTGCGGATACTCTGTCAGATGACAAAGTGCTTCTTGCGCTCTTCAGCAAAGTAAACAAAGATAACGGCTCTCTAAAATCTGCCATGTGTGTGTTTTCCTTGAGGCACATCAATGAAAAGATGGAAAAAAATCGGAACGATTGCTACACTAATCAGAACACCAGCACGTTTTACAAACTCTTTGCAGTAGAAAACCCATGTGGATTAAAGGGACTGGTAATATCAGCCTCAATTTTAGAATCTGTGTTAGAATTAGTGTAAAATATACTGCGTCTTATTTTAGGTGACTTTGAAGCTTTGGGCTAAAGTGTTGTGGGATCACATTACTAAAAACTCGGTAGCTGGATTTACTACGGAAATGGAGTGTGGTTGGGGGTTGCAGAGCAGGTCAAGGAAGAGGTGGCAAGATTGTCATAATTTGGAGCCTTTTGAGTAAGAACGGTTGTCTTCTAAAAGATACATCTTACTTGGTTTCATAAATGTACTTCTTTTAAAGGGTTCCTTCTGCTCTGGAAATTATTAAGTCAAATGCAGTGATTTGTTATGCCCATGGTCAGCCTCCAGATGATCACGATATATATATAGTTCTGGTCTCAGCCAATACGTTTTTCACGTTTTTAACAGTATTAAGAATCATTTAGGTGATGACTAGAGTTCAGTGCTGTTTCTCATTTGGATGTGAATTTTCAGATAACTGGAAATATGCATGTTTCTTACATTCAAGTGGTGTTCGTATGCTGTTCTGGCCCCAAATGTGTCCATAGCATGATGGCCATCAGTGTTTTAAGCAGATGTTTCAGCACAGCTTGAGAAGGTGGTGTGCTATAGCCCAGGGGTAGGAGTGAAGAGCAGAAGAGGAGGGGCATGGGAACACCTTCTACTGGTATTGGCCCAGAATCCTTCATCTCATGAATGCACAATCCTCCACACATTAGGTGTCTAACACAGATAAGAAGCCAAAAGAACACTTTTTGGCTTCCAAATACCACCGTGCTTCTCAGTGTAGTATCTGTGTATCTGAGGTGAGCACAAATATACAGATTCTGAATGTGACAAGTGGAGAAACTGGCTCCCTGCAAAAAGAAGATGAGGATATCAGATCAGAAAGACTGAACTTTCCTCTGGTGGAACTCATTGCAGTTCAGGATTGAAGCGTATTGAGGAGGGAATGCAATGAAGTTCATGACACAGTTGCCATTATGTTGCTTTTCTGTGGATAGAAGAACATTAAGAAAGAAAACAAAATAAAAAACGGCCTTCAACGGCTCCTTTGTAAGCTGTGCTTCTGTAATGAAATAGAAAAAGCACGTTTTCTACCTCCGTCTCTCCTGGAAGGTGGAGGTATTGGGGCAGTCTGCAATTAGCAGACTGCTTTCTGATTGCTGCTTCTTGGCTTGGGGAAAAAAGCCAGACAATCTATTTCTCTCCTTGTATGTCTGAGGGGTATTATATTGTGGTAATATGGTTGCACTGCACTCTTAGCTAGGAATTAGTGATCTGAATGTTTAACATCATTCTGTATTGCTATTCCTTAATAGAATGCAAGCAAAAATTTCCCCTGTGGTTCTGAACACTTACCATACCTTTTGGGAAGTAAAAATGGTGTTATAGAGAAGCCGGTATTACAAAAGGAAGGGATGAATCTCACGGCTGTCACTGTGACTGTGGAAAATGGGCATACGGTGGCATTTCTGGGAACTTCGGATGGTAAAATTCTTAAGGTAACGTTTCTGACTTAAAAAACTGGAACGTGTTTAAAATGTTGCAATTTGTAGTAATAGCATACTTCTACTGTGAAAGTATATGTGATACGTAACATCCCATTTCAGGAATAGATTCTCTTGGTGTTTGGTATTTTTAATTTCAAAGAAAAAAACAGCTTCTCCCTTATGTACCTCAGCTTCTCCAATACACAGATTGAATTAGCATCTCCTGAATGACACTTTCCTGTAAGGTTTAGGTACCTACTGAAAGCCCTATATAAATAGCCTTAGGTAATATAACAGCTGCTTTACTCTTATCTCTATTCAAATCCATATTAGTTTAAGAACAATTTTGCATTTTATAATCAATCCGGCCACTCAGTGAATAGAGTATGGACAAGGATATAAAGCTAAAGGTGAAGCTTTGGTAAATTCTGACTGTTGGGTATGGGGCTTAAGTGTTCATGTGTGTCTGTAGCGTTACAATGCCAAGACTGAAACACAACGTACGTATGTTCTTTTGCTTGAAGGCAAGTGATGGCCATGCATCTGTATGTAGTTTGAAATTTGAAGCTGATGCTATTGATTGATTGCCATAAAAAAGAATATCAAATTTGAACACCATAAAGTGCAAAGGCTTAAAGTTGAGAATTTGAATTTGACAGCACTAAAATAAATCGGTATTTTTAAAAAATCAATACAAATTTGAACTATTGCGAGCAGTGGGCAATTTCGTGACTTTTATCCTGTGCTGCTGGTTCTGATATCAAATGCTTCACATCACTGAAATGTTTTCTCCAATACACGTTTGTGAACTTGAGTAAACACAGGATTTTCATTAATAATCACTGGAAACAGTAAAAGAGCAACATTAACCACCTCTCTTTCTTCCATGAAACAGGTATTCCTGTCATCCACTGCAACTGAATACAGTTCTCTTACTATTGAACTAAACAAACCCATAAAGAAAGACCTGGTCCTTGACAGAACGCAAGAGAATCTGTATGTGATGACCACAGACAAGGTAGAGTATCCCTCTTCTGTTCAGTGGTCAGGTCAAGTTTAATTTTCTCTGCAACTGTACCTGAGGTCTGTATGTTTCACAGTTATTCTTGGAAATTGTCCTGTTTGGTGTGGCTCCTTCTGCTCATGGTTCACATGTGCACCTTTGCAATGGGAAGGATTACAGCAGCTTACCAGGAGATGAAAGTGATCCTAGCGGTAGCAGGCTGATATAAAAAGAAGGTGAAAGGCCTTCTTTTACCAGCTTCTGCACCTCTCTCTCTACTTTAGGCTCACTCCTTCAGGGATGAGCAAATAGGACTACAGATGCCTGTAAAGCTAAGCAAAGAGCGCTTTTATGATCCTGTTAGTGTTGGCACTTCTCACTTCAAGGTAGGTCTGCCTAAAAATGAAGACCTTTCTCAACTCCAAACTAGTGAGCTATCACTTGGGAAAAGGTTATATCCTTAATGAGTTTGGGAAGTGAGTTCACCCTAAAAGCTCTCAAAGAGGATCTGTGAGGAGGATCAGATTGTGTTTGGCACCAGAACACCTCTGCGTCAGTCCACAGTGCATCACAGGGCAGCCGTAGGACTCGAGTTTTTTCTGCAGCCTCACCTCAATGGTGCCAGGGGATGCTGTCGCTGGCACTGGTCCTTTAAAGGAGCACTGTAACACTCGAGGATTTGGGATGTTGGTGGTTGGCGTCATAGCATTTACACACGCGTAAAGCATCTTAAGAGTTTTCATGAGTCTTGCTGTAAAAAGCTAAGAAGCAACAGAAAGAACTGCAACTTCTGGAAGCACCTTTGTATGAGTTATGAGCTCCTGCCTAGAGCTGAATCAGTGCAGCAGGAAAGATCAGACTTTGCCACAAAAGGAACAAACAGCCTTTTTTAGCTTTCCCTTCTCTGTGCTGGCAGATGAGGCAAAATGGAGGTTCACGAAGGAAGAAGGAAAGAGAAAAAAACAAGCAGGAAATGAGAGGGATGCCAGCTTTCTCCCTCACCTCTGGCTGTAACCTGCTTCTGACGCTTCTCTTTGTGGTCAGTGGAGCTACCAGCCTCAAACACGTGGTTCACCAGCTCTCCCGGACAGGATGGGTGACAGACTGCTGACGTCTGCCAGTCTTCACCACTGACAGTGGTGAAGACTGAATGGGACGCAGGAAATGCTCCAGTAGCGCTAGCAAGAGGGAGAATGATAGTGGCTGTGAAAGGAGAGTATTTGAGCGAAAAGGATGGAGAAAACGTCTTCTGTTTCTATTTTATAGAAGGATTCCTATAAATTTCTGGTGTGGGAATGTTATGTTCTAGCTGAAGGTTTTCAGTCTAGAAGCCCCATTGGAAAACATGCCAGATTAGTAAGTGACGAAGCATTTATTAATACAACAGTGTGTGAGAGAGGTTATTGCATTTTGTGGAGCAGCTGATACTTCTAGTCTGGCTTCCATTCAGATTTGGAACAGCACGCCAAATCTTAAAATTGTCCACAAAAGACAGGGCACCTGGCACCCCATTTGACGAATTAGCGCACCGTTTAAAAGCCCCAAAGTCCCTGCCAGGCTATCCAACGAGCTGCTGAGCAGCATGAGGAAGAGCAACCCTGAAGGAAGACAAGTTTTCTGGTTCTAGTCTGTCTGAAAAGGTGGCATTTAGGCAGGCCACATCCTAATTTTTCAGAGAAAATTTGGAGAAATAATTCCATCTTTGCAAAATGTTTAAATTTAGAGAGTGGCAATTTTCTACCAAAATAAAGTATTCAGTTTAATCTTTCCCAAGTAGTTCTCCTAGCCACTGCAATTTCTGAATAATATGTATAATAGTTTTCTTTTACAAAATCTGTTCAGCTTAAGTATGCATAGCTAGGCTTGGGAGCTCTGTAACGGCATGACATTACTGTCATCTTCAGGAGTTAATTACAGTGAACGATCCCACCCACTTTTAGAACGAGATGGATGGAAGGAGAATGAGAGCCTTAGTCTCTGGAAGCAATAAAGTGACATAAGCGAAGGCAGAAGAATAAACGTTGGAATGCGCGCTTCTGTTTTCCGAAGAGCTGGGAGTTGTGGGAATAGATATATCAGAACCCTGCCCTGGGTTTTAAAATGGTTTGGAGTTATTTGGAAAAGGCAAACAAGTAAAGGGCACGATAGCTGTGCTGATGTACGTGCTTAATGCTAAACGAACTGGCAGATGCAGCCTGCCGCGGCAGGCAGAAATGAAATGCTGGGCTCCGTAGGCACTTGAGCAAAGTGAAAGTAATGTTGCGAGGGGTGATAGCTGCAAGCAGCCTTTTAAAGGAAATCAGATCCAGAGCAAATAAGTCTCTCTCTCTAGAGTCACAGAGAGAAATAAGCTCTCGCTTTCCCGTTTCACTTCTCCTCCCCTCTCCTCCTGCCTCCTTCTGCCGTGTCAGTAGCCATGGGTGGCTGGGAGCAAAGTGGTTTACAAGTCAGCCCCCCTTCCCCGTTCTGCTCCCGGAGCTCATGCGGAGATTAGGAGAAACCCCTTGCAGCTATTGGAAAAGACTGCACCACCCCTGCCATGCTTATTCTACTTCATTATAAGTAAACCGAAAGGGTAGAATCCCAAATTCCTTATGATAGCTACCATACTGGGAATAAAGCAGCAGCCTGGGGCCGTCGCTTAGCCTTGCTGCTAGTTCGTTTGTTTGCCTTAGTTTTTACCAATCTCTCTGATTAAGAATGTCAATGAGAAAATCTCTAAAATTAGATTTCTTTGCATTTTGAAGCTGACTCTAAACTGAACAGCTATTTTTTTTAAATCCATTAAGTTTACATAAAACTTGTAGAGACGGCAGTCTCTAGGGCTTGTTTCTGCCTGCCAGAGTTAGGAAACAAATACTTTTGTCATAAAAGCCGTTCAGTGGTGCTAATTTACTCAGGCGAGGGGTACCAGTTAGTGAAACAGCGTTCCAGTAACTCAGCTGTAGTGAGGTAACAATCTATGAAGGGAAAAAGAAGCAGGAAAAGAGTGTTGAAAAGGAATGCCTAAGTAATAATAAATACATGAAAACTATCAAATGCTGACTTTTTCCTTAACTGAGTCAGATTGAACTTTCCTAATGTGAAAGGCGGCCAAATTCAGACTTTTGAAGTAACTTGGTAATTGCCAGTTGCTTTAAATGAGAGAATAAGGTAGAAAAAGGGAAGCTTCTGTCTCGTAGGTACTGCTGCTAAACTTTTTGCACTCTTTAAAATGGCAACAGTGATCAGCAGGGCCAGGAGGAAGTATCCCTGGTTCCCTCTTGCACAGTTCCACCAGCATAATCAAGAGGGATGACTGTTTGCTGGCTCGTTTTTCTGTACACCAAAGATAAACAGTATTGTTTATTCTTACCACCACAGGAAAGCAAAAACAGAGGCTATATATTTACGGAGAGTATGAGAACTTATGACACCATTTTCCCTGCTGCTTCCTGTCACGATTATTTCCCTTTTCTTTCTTAAATTTATTGCGTGGCACAAGGGTTATGAGTGGAGAAGTGCAGAGCTCCTGAGCACCCTGGCGCTGTTGTGCTTTCTTTCCAACTTCCCGAAATGCTTCTAGCCAGACATGACAAGTATGGATGCATTTCCAAACAATTTTGTCATAATGCTAACTGCAGGGAGGAGAGGATATTCTGATTAAGAAATGATCTAGGCAGTACCAAGTTAGCCATTTGAAAGTATCCATCCTGCAGTAGCTCTTTCTTGAATTAGAAGAGCG